CCCCGGCGGCAAGGCCTCACCGCCCCGCCAAACTTTCTCCTCCCCCCGGTGGCGTTGGCGAGGTTTTGTCGACCCACCAAGCTTTCCCCTTTCCCCCCTCAGCAGTGGCGAGGTCTGGCCTGCCAAAATTTCTCCTTCCCCCCCGCCACTAGCGACGGCGAGGCCTTGTCGGCCGGCCAGGCCTTCTCCCCCCCACCCCTCCCGCCACCGCTGTTCCAAGAGGGACAGGGAGGGAAGGCTCCTTGTCTTCTGCAGGATCAGGATAAAGCCTCTGCCTGTCGGGTCCACCCGTTCACAGATCTGTGGGGTAGTGACAGTTTCTGAGATGGCAGTTTGTGCTGCGGGTGGACGGCTGGAGCCACGAGCCCTTGTCCTCGCGGCTCCAACAGCTGCTCCTGCCATTCTTAGTGGCGGCGTGTGCAGCCGCACAGCTTTCCTTGAGCTCCTGAGCATTCTACTGGGGATCTGTAAGTAGAGAATGCAGTTTGCCTTTGGGAGGGGATTTGAGTATCCCCCGTATACTTTTTAAAACATGTACGATTTTTCTGCAACCCTGGAGAGTACTCCAAGAGTGCAGAAAAACCTCTTTAGCCTCCAGGTGCCCTTGTTTTGCGGAAATAAGTATCCGCACAGGGGAGGGCACTTGGGAATTCGATATATAGATGGTTTGTTGATTTGAAATTGTTACATTATTATATTGTTTTATTGTCTTATTGTTTATAATGCCTATGGCCTTGTTAGCTGCCCTGGCGGGGAGGGTGGGATATAAATCAAATAAATAAATAAATACAAGTCATGAAAAAGTAAATAAATACATGGAATATTACCTCATTAGAAAGTGGCTATGCCAAGTGCAGACAAGCTGGCTGTAAATACAGAAACAAGGAAGGGGCAAAAGTGAATATTTAAAATGAAAGCCACAGGTATGTGGGGAAATACTGGATTTTCAAACTCTCCAAACCTCATAGGGGCCTGTATGCATTCGGCCTCAGAAAACTTACAGCAAAAAGCAGTACATCACACTAGCTGGGGCTGGGATTATGGAAAGTAAATGGCTAGCTGCTTGCTTTCTTTTAGAGGGGGAGGAAATGTGACTCAGGGAGACAGTACCATGGATGGGAACAGAGCCAAGGTTGGGTGATTTTTTTGCTCAGCTCTCCTTTTGTGTCACTTTATTTTTAAAACAGCTAGATTGTATTTTCCAAAGATGCCTTACAGCTAGGTGGTGTTCTTTCCAGACCGCAGAACTTGTTATTCAAAGGAAAAACGTGGACTGGCACTTAGCGTGTTTTACTGCCTACAGACCAAGCATCTATGAAGTGTACAGTGCTGTAATGATGAATTTCAAAGACTACATTGATTCATGAAAAAACCCACACGTATACAATCTGACTCTTGACTGAGTTTTCACTAATGTAGTGAATATTTCAATTTTATTTATTTATTTATTAATTAAGATTTTTACCCCGCCCTCCTGGCCTAGGCCGACTTACAAACAGAATAAAATTCCAACAATACAGTAAAATAAAATCACATCAGTTAATATAAATACATATTAAAACCAAGACATAATAAAGTGATAGCAACATTTCCTCATTTTGCGGTCAGCTCCCTGGTCTCCTTCAGCTATCTGGGGAGATCAGCTCAGGCGGTATTTAAGGGTCCAGTGTGTCAGGGCTCCACCAATGTAGGTGTCAATTGTTGGTGGTAGAGGTGGTAGTGGTGGCAGACCCAAAAGCCTGGCGGAAGAGCTCAGTTTTACAGGCCCTGTGGAACTGTAAAAGGTCCCACAGGGCCCTGGTCTCTTCTGGAAGCTCATTCCACCAGAGTGGACCCGCCACCAAAAAAGCCCTGGCCCTAGTTGCCACAAGTCTGGCCTCCTTACTGCTTGGGAGAGCCGGCCGATTCTGGGTCCCTGATTGCAGTGTCCTCTGGGGTACATATGGGGAAAGGCGGTCCCTCAGGTATGCAGGTCCCTGGCCATAAAGGGCTTTAAAGGTAAGATTTATGGATGATACCTTTAAAGATGAAATCTTTAAAAAACAGTTTCCTAAGCATGTGTGAAAACTTAATGTAAGTGGCACTGTTTTGTACCCAGTGTTTCAGATTTAGGTTGAATTCAGACATCATGATAAACTGAGACTGAACAGAGTTTTGCTGGCCTCTCACTTTGGTCACCTTCTCTTGCACAAGGAGCTTGACTGGAAACTCCAGATTGAACAAGCCCAGTTCACGAGGATGTATGAATGTACAAACCTGTGCAGTTTGTTTATTCTCCACAAGCTGGGATCCAAAATCTTAGCTGAATCCTTGCTTGTGGGGGATGAACTCTCTCACATGAGTCCCCATGCATTTACACAGCATGGCGAGCTGGAGCCTGATCAAACCAAGACATTTTCAATCAAGTGTCATGCATGAAAGGAGGGTGCAAGGACTGAGGGGCACTCATGAGCACAGCATACTAGTTGTATTGGTGCTTGATACCAATTAATCACAGTTCCTCGTGATATCCAGAAGACAATTTTCAAAATTCAACACTGTTAATTAAGTTGTTAAGCAGGAACAGACATTGCATTGCAGGAACATACACTGGCATTACAATTCAACTAGGAAAAGAATGAGATCTCCAAGGTAGCTTTCAATTGTCCTCACTGCAGAAAAATCAGCTTTCCTCTCTGTGGCAAAATCCTCTTTTGGACTTTTAGGAGACTTGACCAGTTCTTAAATCCAGGTATTTTTCTCCATTCATGCCAATTTCAAAATGAAAGTGCCGACCCTTCCTTACTAAGCCTGAAATCAGATGGTATATGTAACAGCGAGCAAACCTGAAAAGAAAAAGACATGTTGACTTAAGTTTATTGTCTGTTCCCACCTTATCTGTCTATTCCTCAGCTACATGATGTTATAATTGAATTCTTAATCCATACAACCAGTACACAAAAGCTGGTGTAGAGGAACTACAAGACTAAGCTATGACTCACAAGTTTTTGGCATGAATCTTGCCACTGCAATAAACTCACCAAGAGATCTCAGACAAGCAACACTCTCTCAGCCTCATCTCCTTATCCTGCATGTGAGGATAGTAATAGTAAATAAGAACTGCATTATTCTATAATCCTTGCTTAACTTCTGAAAGTGATACCCTTTGAATATTTGACAAGTGTTACTTTTATTATAAACTACATACTTCTTTGATTCCATCCTTAAAACTGATTACCAACCTGTTTAAATCTTCCTCTGATTCTTTCCAGGTCTTCTTGAAGTTTGTCATAAATTGGGTCCTGATGAGGAAATTTCTGGATCATCTCTATTAATGACTCCAGCACCTTTATTTTTTTACTGTAAAAATATAAAATTGAATCAGATATCTGAATTTGAAAGTTTCCAATCCTCCAAGAAGCTCAGAGTACTATACTCAGTCCCCGCTTCATCATCACAACTGTGCAATACAGGTTAGGATGACCAGACCAAGGTCCTTTGCTATTAGAAATGTTCAAAGCAATATACACATTTACTAAATACTTAATCATAAAGAGAAAGACCTACTAGTATTCTGTATGCACACATGATATCTTGAAACAATGGCTTCAGTCACTCTGCTCCCTTTTACTACATGCCACTCATTTTAGGAAACCATATCATATGGCCATGCTGGACAACTCAAAACGATTTCTTCACAGCCAATTATAATTTTTCTTTTGCCAGTTCACACATCATCACTGACTTGTGTAAAATTTGGTGCAGCCTGTTTGCACACAGCATCATTTTCCCAGCCATGAAAGCGGGAAAATTATACTCATATACCCATATATATACATAGGAAAGAGCTATGCCACCTATAACCTATGGTCAGTGTTTCACTTTACAATTGGACTCAGAGCACCATGAAATTAGCCATGCTAACTGATGCATTTCTTTTTAGATGTTTTAAAGGCAACTCCTAGCTTGAAGCCTACAAATATCATATTAGACTGTTCTGTTTGTTTTCAGTATTTTTATGTCATGGATCTTTTAAGTGGCTTGCCCTGTATTTCTAAAACCTGTTTTATTTATTTACTCTACTGGTTTCACTACTTTATTGACTTATTTTGTTGTGTTATTTGTTTTACCAAATTGTTTTATTGCTTTGATTGGTCTTGTTTTATTGTCGTGGGCTTCCTGGAGCAGATCTGGAGAGATTGCATATATATTTCCTAAATAAATAAATAACTTCATTATCATACAAATCAGTTACAGTAGCTTAGATATAGTGGCATGTACCGTACCACTCCACTCAGCAAAGCCTGAAGCCATCCTCCAACTTCAGTGGCTTTTCCTTTGGAGAAAAAACACAAGAACAACAAAACAAAACAACAAAACACTTAAACTGGAAGAAGTCCCCTTACGCCGGAGAAAAGCTTTAAACTTCAGTAGGCACAGTGGTAAGGTACATGTAATTTATCTCATATACAACTAAAAATACTTTGGCAAGCACAAGTCTTCAGTATCGGACCTATTTTAAGTCCTTTGTCATATATTTATATTTTTGTTTAAACTTTCAGAGTGTTATTTTTGGCCACTGGTTACCTAAGAAGACCCAGAGTGAGAGCTGTATGCCACATTTGCATTGTGTTTCCAAAGGACTCACAGTCAGCAGTGGCCAACTGCCAACTGCAACCCACAAGTAAATACCTTACTTTAGTAAGCTGGCACTTGCACTTGCTGGAACACTGAGGCTTCCTTTTGCTTGACATGGAGCCCAAAGAATGCTCATCTGTGAAAGAGCACTGATACTCTTTTACATGTGACCTCACCTCTCAAATGTCTAGCAGTGGTTTCCTGCCAATTAAGAATCACTCCATATCAGAGGGGAAAATAGAAACGATATCCACACAGTACTTATTGGCAGTCAGTTCCAAAATGCCGCACATGACGGAATTCAGACAGACCAGTCTCAAGACAAACCCCGTGATGGCTTGAGTCAGGCCCTCTTTTTAAAATGGGTTTAGTAATCCAAACTGTACCAGTTCTGATGTCAGCAAACATCACATTAAGGGAATCAATAAGAGCCAATTGAACAAACTCCAACAGTCTTGTTCATTTTTAGTATTTTTTAAAGAGGACCAAGGGTAATCACTCTATTTTCGATTTAGTACACTCTTATTCCAACCTTTCCTCAAGGAACTCAGGATGGCATACATCAATCTTCCTTCATCTATTTGATCCCCACAGCAAGTCTGTAAGGTAGGTTAGGCTGAGAGACTGACAGGCCCCAGGTCACCCAGTGAGCTTCCACGGAACAGTCAGAAGTGGAACAAGAGTCTTCCAGAGCCTGGTTCAACATCACTACACCAAGCTGGCTTTTTAACTGAGTTAACAGAGTTCACAGAGTTAAATCTTCAGAAGAAGAGATTGGATTTATATCACACCCTTCACTACCCGAAGGAGTGTCAGAGCGGCTTACAATCCATTTCCCTTCCTCTCCCCACAACAGACACCCTGTGAGGTAGGTGGGGCTGAGAGAGCTCTCTTGAAAACTGCCTTTGAGAGAACAGCTCTGAAAGAACTTGTAACTGACCCAAGGCCACACCAGCAGCTGCATGTGTAGGAGTGGGGAATCAAACCTGGTTCTCCCAGATTAGAGTCCACACTCTTAACCACTATACCAACGGCTCTGGAAGTTTGTGCCTGAATGCTTATATAGGTGTAATGCTTCCCCAATGCCTGTTAAATGACAGGATTTATGACATTGACTAGGCAGAGCTAACATGATTATTCTTGGACTTAAATGTTGATATCATAAGCACTGGTGAGCAATGTTGCCAGTCTCCAGTCTCCACGAGAGAGCCAGTTTGGTGCAGTGGTTAAGTGTGCGGACGCTAATCTGGGAGAACCGGGTTTGATTCCCCACTTCCCCACTTGCACCTGGCTGGATGACCTGGGGCAAGCCGTAGTTCTGATAAGAGCTGTTCTTGAAAAAGAGCAGTTTCTGACAAGAGCTCTCTCAGCCCCACCTACCTCACAGGGTGTCTGTTGTGGGGAGGGGAAGGGAAAGGAGTTTTTAAGCCGCTCTGAGACACCTTTGGGTAATGAAGGGCGGGGTATAAATCCAATCTCTTCTCTTCTTCTTCTCTTCTTCTTGTAAGAACATGGCTATTTTACTATAGATCTTAGGCTATTACTGCCTCCCTCTCGATATTCTGTTATCAAATCTTTGCTTCATTACCTTTGACTTTTTTGATCCCCCCAATACATCATCTATTATAGGAAACAAACTGAACCAAACCCATGAAAAGTGAGACCATAGGTAAGCACTGCCTTTTCCCCCTTACTCTTACCTGTGTTTATCATCTGAGTTTTTCTGAAGCAATCTTAGCCACGTCATCGAAAAACCCAGGTATGAGCCAATCTATATTTGGGAAAAGGTCATTTAAATTTTTTCATTACTCCAGGAAGATAATTTCATGTTACAGAACATTGGATGTATACGTAAAGAAATTCAACAAGGGCACACAGACTTCATTGGAGGACAACTTAAGCATTATGCTCAACTCAAACATAATTTTTTCTGTATCATCATGAGCTTATTACTGTAGTACATATTCTGTATGGAGTTTAAATATGTCCCGCTAGAGCACTGGATAGCCCTGAAATGCAATTTGTGAATCAAACTTTATTATGCACCTTATGCATCACCAGAGTAATTACCAAAACACTAGTTTTAGTTTCATTACATACTTCTAAGCCAATTTTGGCACCTTGTTGTATTCCATATTGTCTTCCTTCCATGACACCAGCCTGAGTTCCTTCAACATAGCCTTCTTGGTAGCCTTCACCATGAAATCTGGAATGAGAGGGGCATTCTTATTGTTGGCTTAACTGTCCAGCTAAATTGAAAAGCCCTAATTTAACTTTTGTTGTATCAGCACTTAAGTGCCTACAACCATATCAAAGCGAGTACAACTTTACTAATTGTGGCATTTGGTTGGCATAGTGTGTAAATACAAATATTCAGAAGCAACCTGTTTCTATTTCATTCTCTTTCATTTCCGCTTACTCAAACATGGAGGCTGAAATATCCACAGAGCAGCTTTACTAGAAAAGTAGATTGAAGTATACATTTAATCAATGAAAAAGTCCTATACTTCTAAAAAACTGTAACGTGATAAATCTCTGATTAGGATTAGCTCATAAACAGCATCTGAAAGCTTACTTTTAATTCAGTAAACTTATGCAGGTAAGGATAACAAGGCTGATATTCTGTACACATTGCAGCCATATGCAATATCAAAATTCAGTTTGAAGAATTCTATTTCTATAGCATACTCATTATGCACGGTAATTTACAGGGTCAAATATATACCCCCCCAAAAAAACTTGTCAATTTTTTCTGCTCCTTCATTTGCACCTCTTCTTCTCTCATCAATTAGTTTTTAACTAGTTTATGAAACTCACCAGACTCAGAAATGTTCAAACTATTTATGAAACATTCCTATAAATTAAAGTAACCCAGCCCCGGGATACATTTCACAGAGCTATCATTACTGAAAATGGAAGTCAGCAGATCATTGAACAAGAAGCAACACAGTACTTTACTTTATTTCTAATACAAATCACTAATATTTCCATTTTACAGATTAAGGAACTGAGAAACAAAACAAGCCCTGGGCCTGATCCATGACTTGTAAATAAGCATGATTCTGGGTTGTTACCTCTGTGTTCCCTATGTTTTTTTTAACAGCACCATCACAGGCAGAAATCCTACAAGTAAAAACTTCCTCTGCCAGAATAAATTGCACTTCTGGGATTTTTGGCATGCAGCTAATAACGCCAGGAAAACTGGAAAGAATAAAAATGGCAGCTGTTACCTAAATCTGGTCCTCACAGACTACAGTACAAGATTCTGCCTTTCTCACAGAGGCCAGTGGCCTCACTAGCAAGATCCCGGGGTGCGTATATTAAAAACTAGCCTGCTACCCGTGCTTCGCTACGGTATTTAAGTTCCGGAAATCCAGTTATAATATTGATGATATGAAGTCTGAAATGTGACATTTGTTGTAGGAATTCTAACAGAGAAGATTGTAGTGTAAGAAATGAATCGAGACATACGTACTTTTTTCTCTCTCTACTGAAGGACCTCTCTCTAGACCACATTGGTGGTTCTGCCCTCAGGTGCTAGGATCACCAGGCTGCTTGATGAGCTCACTCTGGAGCAGGCCACATAGAACTGTCCATTTAAGAAGCAGTTGTCTGTTAAGTCAGCTCCTGCTACCTTCCGTGAAGGTGATAGCCTCTCTACTTGTGTTCCTGGATTGTTTTGCTCATATGGAAACTGTGTTGTTCTGAGCACCTCAGGGTGATCTTGCTGGTACTTGGCCTGTGCAGCTCAGTGCACTGCAGGAGTACTATGTGCAAATGTCTTTGCCGCATTCCTAAGTTGCCTCCTCCTTGTAGCGTTGGTGTATCTGGCTCGACGTTTGCCAGGAGCATTCTTGGGGGCAGTAAGAGGTGAGAGGTGTGAGGGGGAGTTGGTGTGCGGGAGTGGTGATGTGGTGGACATTTCGTCAGGTTCATGAGGGAGGCAGGCATCGAAATGGCTCCTAGAAATGTCCTTTACTATCTCCCCATAAACATTCATACCCTGGCCCTGCTCCTACACCTGACAGACACCGGCCTGTCTAGTGGGGGGGGGGTTGTATTTAAAGGGATGGGAGAGGAGTATTAGAAGCTCCTGTGGAGGCAGCTAGCAGGATCACTAAGGTGTTACTGCTGGGGCAGGCTCCCTCGTGACTTTAAGCACCCTGCAACCGCTGCTGCACCTGACTAGGTGATGGCCTCTCTACTTTTGTTAGGTGTAGGAGGCTGGGGGAGTGTGCTGGAAGCCATCCAACCTCCTCTCCTACACCTGACAGGCAGCTGCCTGTCCAGTGTAGGAGGGGGAGGACTATTAGAAGCCACTGTGGAGGTGGGGCTGCACCTGACAGACAACCACAGGTGTAGGAGGTGGGGGAAGTGTGTTGGAAGCCATCTGAGAGGCTGGGCCAGCAGCACAGGTGGTTCCTGGCCACTCCCAATTTCCTCAACTGTCATTAGCTGTCTGCAATCCCCTTTAACTGTTGGGGTTTTTTTTTACATCAGAACTCTGAGCTCTGCAGCTGACCAATCAGAGAGTGGAGGGTGCAGAGAGGCAGCTGCCTGGCAGCTACCTAGGAATCAATGGGGGGAGCACATTTCCCCCCTTTTTACCCACTTAGGGGTCGAATTTCTAAAAATCCCTTCTTAGTGAATACTTACGCCATGGTGGGAGCGCTCTCCCCGAATTTGGTGTCTCTAGATCCAGCGGACTTTCTTTTATATATACAGAGAAGAAGCAGAACCCGTGATACTCGTGAGGTTGGTGTATTCCCCACGGCTCCCGGGCTGCCAAGGCTTCTCCCTGCCACCCACAACAACAACAGTGGCAAGCCCTGTGCGGCTGTGAGCTGTCAGGCCCACCAGGCTTCTCTCCCACCCCCCACCACGGCAACAACGGGCTCAGCTCCTGGTTGCGGGGCTTGCCAGGCTTCTCCCCCCCCCGTCTCCGACAGTGGTGGCTGTGGCTCCTAGCCGCCACCCCCACCGCCGAGGCTTCTCCACCCCTGCTGCCACCGCCAGCACCAACCGTGGTGAGCCCTGCGTGGCTCTGCCACAGATCCCAGGGGTAAGTGTGTTCTCTGTGCATGTGCAGGGAATGCTTTTTTACTTTTGGGGGGATTTAAGTATCCCTCCCTATAGTTTTTTAAACTTTTCAGATTTTTCTGCACACCTGGGGACTGCCCCAAGTGGGAAGGAAAATCTCTCTGCCCCCAATGTGCCCCCGATGTGTGGATTTAGATATCCACACAGAGGGGGCAACTTGGCTATTAGATATATACCGTGTTTCCCCGGAAAGAAGACACTGTCTTATATTTATTTTTTCTCAAGAAGACTCACTAGGGCTTATACCACAAACGCATAGAAATCCTGCTAGGGCTTATTTTTGGGGTAGGTCTTATTTTCGGGAAAACAGGGTAGATAGATGAAGCTGCCTTATGCTGAATCGGGCACTGGTACGTCCATCTACCTCCAGGGATCTCCAGTGATGAGAAAGAACGTTCTCTGCATGAGACGCCAGGAAAGGAAAGAAACTTTCTGCATCTAAAACACCTGGACTATGGCCTCTCCCCGGGGAGTGTGTGTGTGGGGGGGGGGCCCCGAATATTACCTACACATCTAAGGTAAGGTCATTTTTAATACAACGAGTCACACGACGCCCAATAAAGCTACCTCCACTTGGCCACTAAGCTCACTGGGTGTGATCTCGGACTCATGTCATGCCCCCACGGTCTAGCTGACCTCACAGGGTTATTGTGAAGATACAACAAGGGAAGAGCGAGCCACGAGTGCCATCCTCCGCGGAATTAAGAACGTAAAGATTCTTACTGCCCTTCTCAGCTATGCGGGCACCTCACCCCCTGCTCGCCGACTCCCTTCGGACTCCCACCACCGCCACGGTCGGGCTCTAAGGCCGTACCTCGCCTCCGCCATAAGAATGGCATCAAACGCGTCCGGCTCGTTCGCCACGGCCATGCCAGCTCTCTTTTCCCGACTCTCGACTCGTCATCTGGGGCTCAGTTTAAGAACGGACGGCAAGCCGTAAGGACCAACGTAGAACAATGTCCACTGCGCACACTCCGAAGGGCTAGGGGTTTTCTTCCGTCACTGAAGAGCTCAACTGGCCACCAGGGGACGCTACGAGGCTGCAGGGGCGATGGGCGAAGAACGGCGCTTGTTTCTTCTCAGGTAATCCGCTAGAGGGAGAAAGGATCCCGTGCGAAAGCCAGCGCCCGCGCCCTGCAGCGTCCGCACTTTTTGTGACATGTCTGCAAGTATGCCCGGGGAGAAAGCCGTAGCTGACTGCCAAAGTCTGGCATTTTCGGATTATTCTGCTGTCAGGCATTTCCGAATTCT